CCAGCGGCAAGATGATGGATGGCTGTCGAAACTAACACATGTGAAGAAGCAGATGGCAATGCTACTGCATCTTTGTCGAAATTTCTCAATCGCACAAGTAATGGTGGACCAGTGGTTAAGAAATAGCCAGCAGTTTCTGGTAAAGCTCAAAAATTTAAAATTTACCACATATGGGGGCAAGCCAAGGGAAACTAATTCAGAATTTCGCTTTCCGTAAAGGGCTAAGCAGTTTCCATGCGTAAGAACAAACTTCAGAAGATCAAGCAATGAAAAAATAAAAATTACTCCATCGGATAAGAATGAGTTGATACTTCCCAGCAACTCGAAACGACAGCTGAGTTTTGAAACTCTCACGGTGCCATGTTACAAGATAGTATCCTGATGCGATCCACCTGCAAAACAGCACCTGTTCTATGGGAGTCCTATGAAGCGGCCTCCAGACAAATTTATAGCCAAAGCATGAAATGAAAAACACTGAAATCTCATAAGGCAAGAGAAGTGCATCGTTGCAACACTCATTTTCGAGACTCAAAAACGCCTCAACACAACCCCCCGCATGTGCCGCTGCTACTTCCACATGTGCCTTCTGCAGAACTGGAATCAGCAGATGCTACACTGGCCACCGGGCCTCTCCTGCCTCCCTTCTCGCAGTGCCTGACTTGCAATCTGAAAGCGGTTCGAGGCTTTAAGCATATGAAAATGGGTGCAAACACCGAAGAAAGGAGTCAGGGACGTATGCTTGCCTCGCCGGAAGAGGGGTGTCGCGAAGAGACCAATAACAATATACGAAAAACAGCACCAAAGACATACACACACATGTACCACACACAAACACACACACATATGCAATACACAGAAACACACACACATATATGTACCACACACAAACACACACATATGCAACACACATGCACACAGACAAAGGCATCAAATAATAACAAAAGGCATACCATCCGCACTTTCGCGCACTCCTGTAAACAAAATTCAGCTGACTGCGAGCTGGATTCTTCCAGGATGAGTTGTCCTCCTCCTCCGCTACAAGTCGTTCCACTGCTGCTCGGATTACGTGGGTTACAGGACATCGGCGAAGCATGCACGAGACGTGCTGCGCCCAGCCGCATCACAAAGCACGGCGTCTGCAACTTAGGGTCGCAATGGAAGGAAAGTGAGCGAGCGGCACGTGGACGTTTTCTTGCACTAGACCAGTGGCCATAACACTCGCTACGGCCAGCGATTGACCGATCCAGCGAAAAAGGCCAGCAACCTTGCAAATGGCGCTGCTCACCGCACCAGCGAATGGCCCACCGAAGCAAGCTCTCAATGACCGCAACCCCGACCACTGCAGCAAACCCGCAGAAGCCGTCAACATATTACCGTATAGTGGCCAGAAGCTGCCCCACGACAGTCGCATGTGGCACCCGCTCGCTTGCAGCGTTTGAATTGCGCGCTGTGGTTTGCGGCACTTTTGCAAAATTCAAAATTGGTTGGTGGATGCGCGCTGCGCTGTGAGCTCCGGCTTTCCAGGTGGAGCTTGGCCTGCGCGGTGGCTCTGGCGTATGGCCTGCGTGGAGTGGCGGGGGAGGTATGTGTGGCTGCGTGGGTGGACCGCAGGTGGTGGCACCGCCTTGTTCATGTGCGATTTCTTCGCACGTCTTGCATGCGTCTAAATCAGTGCTG